AACATTGTTTTACCTACTTTGAACATGTTCGGCCGGGTAGGGTTACCTCGGGTTCATGTAACCCCACCCCGCGCCCCTACCCGCGCAGTGCGGGTTAGGTATAATTCAAACCGAAAATTAAATAAAAAATTAGAAACCCGTGATTTTCGGGTAGGGTCGGCTCGGCTCGGCCGGGTTCGTCGGGTTCGGGGTGATTTCTTACAGCCCTAGCATGTACGACTGAGATTCTGCTACTTTTGTTAATAATAATAATAATAATAATGATGTGAAAGTTTAAATGATCATATGTCACTTTCAATAATAATTTTTTTTTGAGAGAAGTTTTGTCGAAACAACTTTTATTGAGAGAAATTTTGCTGAAATAACTTTCGTCGTAAGAGAAAGGAGAAAAAGGAAAAATTCAGAGAAGTATTTTGAGAGAATAGAAAGAAAGAGTGAAAAATTAATAAAAGTATTTTCTCCTTATATTTGTTTCTTTGGTTACTATTCATTTACCTTGCTTATATAATAGTATATATACACCCCAATTTACAACAAATAATAATAATAATAATAATAATAAACTTAATCACCGTTCATTTCACCTTACAGAGAATTTAAAATTTAAAATTTATTATAATAAAAAAATTCTTAGAAACAGTCACATTTAATTTTTTTATTATAATAAAAAGCTCTTATATAAAGTCACATCTAAACTCAAATTAAAAACTCGAATCAGTAAACTAAACGGGCTCTTAGGGCTCGTTTAGTTTGCTGATTCGAATTTTTAATTGGGAGAAAGAGGGAAATAGGTCAAGATTTGAGATGAATTAAAATTAATAGGCCAATAGTTTACATAAGTTAATAAATAGGCCAAATTACTGTTTTCTTTCATAACTTGTCTGGTTATGAACCATAACTTGACAAGTTATTGTCCATAACTTATCTGGTTATGAACCATAACTTGACAAGTTTGTCCATAACTTATCTGGTTATGAACCATAACTTGACAACGTTGTCCATAAATTATTTAGTTATGAACCATAACTTGACAAGTTATGACTTATTAATTTCTATAACTAAAAAATAGCCTATATACTTTTTTAAGCTTTTCATATTGGCCTATTTCTTACTATTTACATTTTTAATTCGAGTTAAGATGTGATTTTATGTAAAAACTTTTTACTGTAACAAAAAAATTAGATGTGATTATTTCTGAAAGCTTTTTATTATAACAAAATTTAAATTTTAAACTCAAATCGATTAAATGAATGAGAACTTAATATACTCCTTTTTGTCCTTCATTATATCCTATAAACTAAAAATGAACCTCCCTTAAAAAAAATAATAATAAAAAACTTCTTTCAGTAGCCCGCCGTCGATTTCCATGATGACGACAGATGCCAGAAGGACGCGATGGGGCGCTCGATTTCCAATGGCGGTGGCAGAACCCATGTGGGTCGCGGATCTATCTTTGGTTGGCGGTCACGCGAAGGGAGGTTGTGAGCCCTCCGTCTCCATGGGTTAGACCCCTTCCTTTCCAAGTGGTCGGTTAGTGCGGCCTCCACAATAGTGGGTCACCGGAGCAATGAAAGAAATATAATTCATTTAAAAACCACTTTTTTTTTTTGGAAGTATGATAATTGATTTTCTTTGATTAAATATTCTTTTCCCCTTGTTTGCATTTTTCTGTATTGCTCCTAAATTGATCTGTTGTTGAAAGGGTGATTTAACCAAAATTTTTTAAATATAAGCTCATCCTTTTAGTACCGTTAGATTAAAATATAATGAATCTCATTATGTAGCCTACTGGTAGGGGATTTTAGTGTTCCCAACAACAATTATTTGATCAATTTCAACAATTTGAACCAAAAAATTCAATTCGAATTATAGTTGAAGGTTTAAATTGATGTTTGATAGAAAATTAAATAAGGACAATTCAAATCATTAATAATAATTTAAACTTAGTTTTAGAATTGACATTTTTTCTCTCTCCTCAACTTTAAATTTAAAAATGTCATAACTTTTTCGTTTTAATTTCGATTAAAGTGAATTTTTTTCCACTATGTTCATAAAGGAGAGAGTAACAAATCATATTCATATTGCATATTTTTTTAATGTCATTTACAATAAGATTTTATAAAATTTGTCACAAAACTCTAATAGCAATTTTTAACACTTTATCCAAATATAGTTTGAATTTTATTCTCAATCTAAATTACAATTTATTTGTGTATTCAAACATTAATTCGAATCACAATTCAAATCAAATCTTACAATCTGAACAGGGAACCAAACAACGCGGTAGACATCTTCATTTTTCCTTTTGTGAAATTAGATTATCAAACTGTGGTCCTAATGATCAGCGGAGAAATTAAAAGGAAAGAAACTAAGGGGACGTTTATTTTCTATATTTGTACCTAATTCTGAATCATGATTCATTGTTTTCTACAATGTTTTCTCTCACAAAAAATACACGTAAAACGAGAATAGTTCTGAATCATAATTTTAAATTCATAAACCAAACATCTTCTAAGGTTGTCGATGTAATGATGATACCTGATTTAATATCCCTTAAAGGGGCGACTAATGAGGGGAGTCTATGGTATGTGATACATCATGCAATAACATATGAGACTATCTGCTTTTTTTTTTTTATAATTATTTTGTAAAGAAAAAATAGAGGGGTTTAAATGTTGCTACTGTTACTTTTCTTTAAACATATTTAATAATCAAATTTTACAATTGAAAAAAAAAATTATGAGCTATCAAACACTTTTTTAACTAATATGTACCTATTCTTATGTAGATCACCTAATTAGACTGGATTATAACTATATACTCATATTTACTATATGCATTGACTCGCTCAAATTTATTTATGTTAAGGCTGAGCAACACATAGAGAGTATATCATCGCTTATGCCATATACGGACCATACTTTCGAGTTTCAAAATCCCTAAAAATTTTAAGCTTTAACCTCCATTTATTTTTTTTTCTTACTTTAAGAAATTAATCTCCATTTGTCCATTTACTTCAAAACTTAGCAATTTTGAACTTTTGATTTTGTTCTAGTTTTATTTCGTAAAAAAAAAAAAAAAAAAATTTTAATTTGTTTTAATTACCAATATTTTTAAAAATGTTGGAGGGCAAGTTGATAAAAAAGTAATATTTTAAAGGGATAAATTGGCTTAAAATCAATAATTTAAAGATATTTATAAAGTATTAATTGAATCACGTGCTATGCATATGTATGTGAAAATAATTTGTAACTCGTGTTACGTCCGAAGCCTGACTAGATGCTTAAATCCTGACTAGATGTTTAAATCCGAATTCCAAACTCAAATCCTACTTTAAAAAGCCCATAACTTAAAAACTACATTAAAAATAGAAATATACTCAAAACACCCTCTATATTTTGTAAAAATACCACTTTTGCTCTCTTTATTATATAAATACTTAAAACACTTCATGGGTTTTAACAATTAAATTTAAAAAAAAATGTTATTATTTAGCTTTCTCAATATATAATTAATGTTATTTCAGATAGAATTTAACTAAAAATAAAATAAAATTTTTTAAAAAATGCTCAAATAAATATTCTAATTACACACCAAGTCTCTAAGATCACTTTTCGGTCTCACATCAGATCGGGCCGACAAATAAGATCCCTGATCTGTCCTGATCTTGGTGTCTGCGTCGTTGGGCGAGGACAATCTGTCACTGATATTCCTCCTACATATTGCAGGGCATAATTTCTTTTTATGTTATTTCTAAGTTTTTGGTATATTTGTTTGCATTGTTATTCCATAAGCTTTGATTAATTTGATTTCAAAAAAAAAAGAAATCTGTTGTAGATTTTTGTTGAGAAAAAAATATTTCGTATACTAAAAAAAACTTACACGATATGAAAGGTGAGTAAAATATGAAAAGATGATGTACGTAATATGAAAAGATAATCTACAAAATACAATGGCATAAGATAATGTTAAAAATAATGAAATATATAAAATAGTGTTGTTTTTTAATGATTTTTTTTGAAAATTTTCCAAAATAAAAACTGATACTAATCCTAGTTCAAATTTATTGAGACTGGGCTTTTGGGTCCTACTTGGTCCTGAATTTTATAATGGGTAATTTACAAATATAACAAAATTTTAATATCAAAGTTTAAATTTAGTAAAAAATTTAAAATATTACAAGAATAATAAAATTTTATATCATTAAAATAATGATTATATTATTTTATAGTATAAAATATAATATTATTATGATAATTATTATGTAATTTTTACTTTATTTATAATATTTTAAAAATTTTGCTAAATTTCAACTTAAGATACATGTAATTACTTCTTTTATATAAAAGCCCAAAAAACTCGAGTGCCCGAACGAAAATTTGGGCTTGGGCAGCCCGATTTAGACTAGCCAATTAAGGTCTGTTTGGTATACATATTTAAATTATGGTCGTTTTAATTTTAAAATTAGAATTATAATTCATAATTTGAATCTCAATTTAAATCATAAATTTTTGAGTTTGAACTATGTGAACTAGAACCAAGGGTTTAAATCGGTCAAAGATAGGAGATGGTTTTATTTTTTTTGAGTGGTGTTGATTTAAAATATCATATCAAAAATCAAATTTTAAAGCAAAACCATTTAAACTATAATGATTTTTTTGAGTTCAAACCACTTTTTATATTTAACAAATAAATATTAATTTGAGGTAGAACCATAAATCTGTTTGATAAAGAGATTTAAACTATAATTTAAATCATAATTTATAATTTATTATAATATTTTTTCTCATAAAAAATACACGAGAATAATTATGAGGCCTCGATCCATAACCTTCATCGTATGTACGTACGGTAGAGGCACGTGCACCTACCACGGAGAAGGTCAAAGCATCAATCACCTTCTTTCTCTCCACTTTACGCGTCACCACTCACGTGGGCGAAAACAGATATTCCCATATTATTTATTTATTCATTTATTTATTATTTACGAGTCCCGAGAACCCAGTCAGCCCTGACATTGCTAAAGCCAAAACTCAATCTCAGTCCCGAGTCCGACTCGCCTAACTCAACTCAGTACACTACCTCCGTCATGAACTCGAAGCTCATTTATACGGCGACGATACTTGTCGCCTTGAATTTCCTCATCTCGCCGGCGGTATATAACCTCCACGCGCCGCCGTCCATCCCTGGGTCCCACGACGACCTCCACTCCGCGAAAATCGTCGGAGTCACGGGTGCTCTCGGACCGGAGAGCATCGCTTTCGATTCCGACGGCCGTGGGCCCTACGCCGGCGTCGCCGACGGCAGAATCCTCCGGTGGGAAGGCGATGGCCGTGGCTGGTCGGAGTTCGCGGTCACCACTTCTCAAAGGTGAGATTGTATGCAAAAACCGTATCTTTAGGTTCGTTTGATCAGATTTGAGAAAGTGTTATGGCGATTCTCTGTGTTTATTCTTTCATTTGTGAATTTTTGTTTGGTTTTTTGCTACAATTTTCCTTCTTATTGCGTTTTAGGGAGCTAATAACTTGATACAATAATATTGGAAAGTTTGTTGGGAATTAATTATCTTACCGTTTCGGAACGTTTGATCTGTATAAAACCATATCAAAACGAAAGAGCATACAAAACTGGTTCTCGATACAACTTTTAACTAAAGGTTCTATACAACTTTTACGGTTTTTGTACGTTAGATTTGCTAAATATATATCAAAACGAAAAAAAAAATTGCAAACTTAACAGAATTTGATACAAATTTAATGATTTAAAACAGAGGCCTATTGGTAGTTTATTTTCATATCTACTGTCAAAATCTCATTGTTCATAATTTGAGCTGACGAGATAAGTTTTGTTGTGAATTTAGTTAGAAACTGCTTATGAATGAATGAATGCTACTGCTATCTACGAAGGAGATAAAATTGTTAATTATATCAGTTAGTCCTGCTATGAAGAATTTTTTTCTTAGAATTTGAGGAGATTTGTTTAGTGGCAGTAGAGAAGTTTTTGGACTGTAATATTTTCTTCAAAAATTTCGTGAGATTTTTGTATTATTTAATTATGGTATAACCCAAGTTCGAAAAATGCACAATTAACTGATGAGGAACATGAGTTTTTTTTTTTTTTTTTCCTTCTCTCCTCCATTTCCATTATCATTATTTGTGACTATTTTACATCTATTGAATTTTGTGTTATATTACAAACGGTTTAATTGAAGTGAAAAATAGTTTTACATATATGTTTTTTTTTTTTGTTACTTAAAAGGAAGGAATGCATTCGCCCTTTTGCACCGGAAATGGAGCATGTATGTGGGAGGCCTTTAGGGCTGAGGTTTCATAAGAAAACTGGAGAGCTGTACATTGCGGATGCTTATCTTGGGCTTAAAGTGGTTGGTCCTGATGGGGGTTTGGCAACTGATTTGGTTTCAGAAGTTGAAGGGCAGCCTCTGCGTTTCACCAACGATATGGACATTGATGAAGATAAGGATGTCATTTACTTCACCGATACAAGTATGAGCTTCCAAAGAAGGTAAATTATAATAAGCACAATCTTATAAAAAATTTTACAGTCTCAATCTAGGATCTGCCAATAAATAACTAGTTAATATTGTTTAGTGAAATTAGGCAAAAGAAATTTATATCTCTTTAGTTATTTTTGTTCTTGTTTCCTTTTCATTCTTTTTTTGTTATGTTTATGATGCGTTGTGAAGATTATCATTCTTCAGTATGAATTTTAAATGTTAGGATTATCTTTATGTTCTATTATTTAAATTCTCTAGATTATCTCTGAATTTTGTTTAGGATTTGTTGTTTAAAATTTTGTTATTTAAATTCCCTAGGTCATTTAAATTCCTTAGGATTGTCTCTTTAAATAACAGAATTTTGAATAACAAATCCTAATCAAATTATCAAAATTAAGAGATAATATAGAAAATTTATATTAGAACATAAAGATAATCCGAAAGTTTAAAATTAAAAACTAAGGCGCTGCATCATTCCAATCTGTGCTCCAACTTGCAGCACTCTTCTCAGCATTAAATAATTAATCAGAGATTGCGTTTGCCTGGCGTAGGCTTCCTTACATCAGTTTCTATGCAATAAATTCCTCTGCAAGTATGAGAAATAAATTTCTGTGTCTAGAATTGATTACTTCATTTAGGTATCAACCATCAAATGAGAGCCAGTTAGATATCTTCTCAATTTGGAAATAATCAAGGGAGACTCTCTCTTTTCTTATTCATCCACAGATGGTTTCTTGCTGTGCCAAAGATGCTTTTGTATTAAATTAGAGAGTTCCCGAGCCTGTTATTGTTTTATTCAACTTGGTTTTCCTATGAAGGGGTCAGTTATGTACGAAAAACCAGATCGTTCAATACTGCTGTGACGATTCTCTTGTAAATATTTTGTGCCATTACCATAGGGTGAATTGAGTGCAAGGAACATTTTGCTTTGGAGAAGGCAGCTGGATTTCTGTTGTTTGAAGGCTGCTTTAGAGATTTTGGTAGGTTTATTAAATTATTGAAGCTCTCAGATGATAAGAAGTGCACTATGTTCTCAAACTGCTTGACATCTGTTAGTCGTAACACATTTCTGTAAAAGATGATAATGCACGCAGGCTTTTTAGCTTGTGGAACAGTGGAAGTTGATGGATTTAGGATGTTTCTTTAAAGTATAATTATGGCTCCCCCACCCCGCTCGCTAACATCATATTTTGAGTGCAAAATGTCAAATCTTCCCCAGTTAAAGACTCCTTATTTTTTGCAATATTTATGTGATCTCAAGTGAACCGTACTTGATCGGCTAGCAATAGCAAATTGAGGTTGTGCCAAGAGTGCAGGACTTCGGTTATGGTCTTGGAAGCACCTACGAATATGCATGAGCAGTGTAGTTTCAGTTTCATTCCTTTTGGTTCAGTTACATTCCTTTTAGCTGATGCAAGTCTGAAGTTTAGTTATTTACCTTTTCAGCTGATGTGCCACCTTATGCACCTTTCTTCGGTTGATTAATTTGGTTGATGCTTAAGAAAAAGAATCTACGCTTAAAAAATCTCATATTTCTTCTGGCATGCACCTTGCAGGCAATTCATGTCGTCAATCTTGAGTGGAGACAAGACAGGCAGATTACTAAAATACAACATATCAAACAAAGAAGTGACAATCCTACTAGAAGGCCTTGCTTTTGCAAATGGAGTAGCTTTGAGTAAAGACCGCTCTTTCGTGCTAGTTGCTGAAACAACAACTTGCAGGATTCTCAGGCTCTGGCTCCATGGTCCAAATGTTGGAAAAGTTGATGTTTTTGCCGAGCTTCCAGGATTCCCGGACAATGTACGAAGGAACCCGAAAGGGGAGTTTTGGGTTGCCTTACATTCCAAAAAGGGACCTCTCTCGCACTTCGCTGTCTCAAACACTTGGGTTGGAAAAACATTGTTAAAGCTTCCCTTTAGCTTCAAGCAATTGCACTCTCTTTTAGTAGGAGGAAAGGCTCACGCAACCGCTATAAAATTAAGCGAGGATGGGGCAGTTTTGGAAGTTTTGGAAGATTGCGAGGGAAAGAATTTGAAGTTCATTAGTGAAGTGGAAGAGAAAGATGGGAAGCTCTGGATTGGGTCAGTGCTGATGCCGTTTATAGGCATTTATAACTTGCAATAGGAATTAGGAAAACAATTAGTATTAGAGTAATGGGAGTTTAATTTTCTAGTTTTTTTACTTGTTTTAGACCATCGTTTGAAATGACGTTTAGTTTCCAGGTCTTATTTTTTTGCCTTATTTTTTTGAAATGTCTTATTTTTTTTCTATTAGTGAATTTTGCCTCACGAAATAAAATAATTAGGCGAAGTTTTTCCAAAATGAAAGATACAGGAAATAAAGAGGCAAGAAAATCCTTGTAGCTTTCTGGAAAGAAGATTTATACCCCTAATAGATTCATATCTAAGCCAAATAGTGGTCTCGATTCCTATAGTCGTATGTATTTTCAGAGGAATCCTTGACTCTCACATCTTTTTTTTGTCTTTTTTTTTTTGTCTCCTTTTTACTTTTGGCAAAGCTTATGATCTGTTTATGCGTAGTCAGGGGTTTTTTTTTTTTTTTTTTTCTAAATCTTTATTAAACATTTTGTTTGGTCATGAGATATTGGCTACAGCTCTAGCTAGATCTCGTGTTGAGCTAGTTGAATGTGTTTTCTTTTTTATTTGTGCAATTACATATTGAGATCATTACGTAAATAATTATGATAATAAATTGATTTTAGTTAAATGGAATTATTACTAAATATTAATTACGTTTTAGATACAATTCAATATATATCTACCACTAGGTATATATTAATGTCTCTAATTTGAAATTCCTGCTCCAATAATTAAGATAAACTCTGAGTTAGACGGTACAAACATAGGTCTCGTTCGCTTCGCGAATTTGAGTTTTTAATTCGAGTTAAGATGTGACATTTTTTAGAGCTTTTAACTGTAGTAGAAAAAGTTAAATGTGACATTTTTTAAGAGCTTTTAACTGTAAAAACCTAAAATTAAAAATTCGAATTGATGAAATAAACGAGGTCATAGTTTGAACTTGGTACCAGGCTTTTACTAAACACAGATTTAAACTTGGTTGGCCACTCGGAATGAGAAATCCAATCCAAATTACTGAACCAAAAGGAGGTTAATCCACAGGGTACTAGAGCTAATAATTGCAAGGTTACCAACTAACTTAAGTTGGTTGGATAATGAGAGATGAGAGCTTAATTTTGAAAATTAGTTAAGGTATGTGTAACAGGATCATCAATTGAGAAACTCGAAAGGGTGGCCACAGATGATTGATGGTCATCACCTGTCAATGTCGATTAATACGATAAAATAGTCATTTAGGACCGTTTAGTTCGCTAATTCTAGTTTTTAATTCAAGTTGAGATATGATTTTATATGAGAGCTTTTTATTATAGCAAAAAAAAAAATAGATATGATTGTTTGTGAGAGCTTTTTACTGTAGCAAAACTCAAATTCTAAACTCGAATCAGCAAAATAAACGGGGCCTAATAGTGAGTAATTCTGAACATTATAGACCTAGTTTGCTTTACGGATTTAAGTTTTTAATTCGAGTTGAGATCTGATATTTTCTTAGAATTTTTAACTGTTACAAAAAAAATAAAATGTGACATTTTAACTGTAAAAATTTACAATTAAAAACTCAAATTAATGAAATAAAAAATATTATAATAAATGTTTGGGGGAGTGCTTGTGTGGGAGAGCCAAGTTTTACAAGCATGTATCCTCTTTTTCTGATGGGGACACCTAAATAGATATAATTAATAAGTTTCCCAGCAACAAGAAAAGATGACAGAAATTTTGTGGTCATTGTTCGCCTATGAAATGTATGAGAAAATGAGGGGCCCTACTACACTTAATCAAGGCAGTTCTTCCAGTCCTCTGCAAAGTGATAACGAGAGTTATGGAATTGAAGTATTTATAGTCGAGCATCGAAGCAACTTTCAGCCACAAAAAAAAAAAAAAAAGCTAGTTCTACTCGAATATTATATCTCATTTAGTTTATTGATTCGAGTTTTTAATTCAAGTCAAGATATAATTTTATGTGAGAACTTTTTACTGTAACAAAAAAGTTAGATATAACTGTTTCTGAGAGCTTTTTACTGTAATAAAACTCGAATCAGTGAAATGAACGAGACCCACGATGAGAACACAAACATTAGCCACCCTTTGAGTTCGAGCGGAGTAAAATGTTCATTACCCTCACTTAGACAACATACGCGGGGCCACATGACAAATTAAGTCCATCCAAATTTCAATTTTCATGTGTATAAATTTAGTATAAATAAGATTTAGTATAAATTTTGGGGTTAGCCCAAAAACTCATCAAAGCCATAGATTTAATGTGGTAATTAACAACTAGTAAGGATACCCGACATTATTGGTGATATGGATGGCGATCTCAGATGTGTCGATATCAATGGTGACTCATTATTTCGATGAATCATTTCTTTAGACAGAAGAAGATTACTGATCCAATTTGAGTACCTCCACAGGATAGACCTCAACAGAAAACTGAAGAGTAACGGCAGCAAGTGATTGAGTTCAGTAGTTCCTCATATAAAATTATTGACTCTAGAGATATAGTAATATGGAGAAGACAAAATTGTTTCAATTATTCTTTCGAATTATTCTTTGTACTACAATAAATACTTCAATAAATTTCTATTAATTAAATTTGTATTAATTTCTTATTTTTAATTTAAATTATATTTTTCATTTCATTATTTTCTTGGAACACAAAAAATATTTCATTCCGAATTAAGACATAAGAACATCCCCAATTATGAAATAAATCAATGGAAAAATTGCTTAAGGGGTTTTTGATCATATGATAGAGATTTCTCACATTTATAATAGGTATATTGTTTTGTTTTTTTCTCTTTGTTTTGCTTAAGACACATTTCTAGTCGGCTATTTGATTGGATAATGTCTATCTATATGCACTAATGACGATAGACTGATGTTGATGGAGGTTCTATCAACCGTCTGATGTTGCCTGTTGCATTCTCGTTGGGAGATGGGGAAAAAGTCTTGATATCTTATACACATTATAATCAATGAAGTATTGTGACATTAATGTTGTCTTTTTATTATTATTATTATTATTATTATTATTATTATTATTATTATTATTTTAGACAGGATTTGAACTATATAAGTTGTGCTGGGGTCATGCATAGAACTATTACTAGGCTATATATACATGCAATCAGCAGGTTAATGTTGTCTTGACTCTTGAGTACTACATACTATTTGCACAACTCATCATGAATTATTACGTGAATGGGAAAAAATATATATTTAATAATATATAAAAGAGCAAAAAATTTTTTTATGGGACTGTCATGTGACAGTCCGTCCATTTCTTTTTAATATTTTGTAAATTTTATTTACATATGAATTTTTTTATGTGTTTTTAATCTAATAATTCATAAAAGAGTCAAAATTCTTATTTATAAGCCACGTAGCCTATTCACTTTCTTTTTTTTTTTATTTTTTGTGAATTTTTTTACATTTGAATTTTTATATGTGTTTTAAAAATATATTGTTCTACTTTTATTTTCTTTATGTCGTTTGGTATTATAGGAAGAAAGAAAATATGTAATATGCTACATGACTATTTTAGTAATTATTTAATACTAATTTAAGTTTAAAATAGGGATAAAAAAGTCATGAATTTAAGTTTTCCACCCAATGTTGGAGATATAAAAATTCATGAACCACACAACAACTTTTATCCATTTTCTTTTTCTTTTTCTCCTCTCTTCATTCTTACTAACGGCACACTTTATCACTTTATCATGTTAAATGGTTTGAAACTTTTTTTTTTCCATTTTTGAAACTTTTTTAAGTAAATAATATATTTTAAAGGGATTGAAGTAAATTGTATAGTTACTTATAAATATTAATTTGTTAGGTGTAAATAATTTATTTAGTGATAAATACTTGATGTGAATAAATTATTTATGTCAATAAATAAATATTTATTAGTAAATACGCTTTTAATTCACTTCAATCATTTTAAAAATAAAGTATTTACTTTTAAAAACGTTTCAAAAATATTTCACAGATCTATATATTTATTAGTGTAGCTCTGACCAATCACAATTTTATTAAAAACATTTACTGTTTTGAACTACTAAAAATGAATAATAGTCACATATTTACTCTTTTATATATTTATATTTAGGACAAGAGTTTATGGTTTAGGACAGGAAAACAAAAGAAATAAGGAAAACAAAAGAAATAAAGATAAAAGATAAAAGGGGGAGAAAAAGAACAAAAAATGTATGGGACATAGAAGTTAAAAATAATAGAGCTAAGAAAAAAAGGAACAAAGAAAAGAGAAAAAGAAGAAGAAGAAGAATTTTTGGCGCATAAATGACGACTAAAGGAAGTAAATTTTTACTCTTTTATATAGTTAGGATTAAGATGTAGCAACTAGCAAATTTAAGGAGGCGAAAAAGGAAAAAAAGAAGGCAATTTGTTTTTGTTTTTTAGGTCTGGAGTACATTATGTGGTTCATTTATCTCAAGAAATTTGAGTCATTTCCACTTTAGTTGAACTCTTTGTCACGCCCCCCAAGCGGGGTGGGTGACGTGAAGCTCGATTAGAGATTAATAAAACAGATTCTCAACCGGGCCCACACTTAACTGCATTAAAATATAAATAAATTACAGAATCCCGGAGCCTCTGACACACAGGGCTCCACCCCACAGGACATACCGTATCGTACATACATGCTCATGTCAATAATTATTACAACAGACATCAACCACAGTCTAGTAAATCCAAATATTACATAAGTTTACAGAATTTCTCAAATTCCTTACATTTGTCCCAGAGGAGGTCCACGATCCTCACTTGATTCCAACAGCATCACAACTCAGCTGCTCCGTAACAATTATCCAGCTACAGTGCCCCGTTCCTAGAGTCTCATGGGAGGGGTTTAATACATTTGAAACATAAAACGTGAGCGAAAGGCCCAGTAGGATGTTATTTACAAAGACGAAAAGTAAATAAATAGATAAAGTGCAAGTAAATAAATAAATGAGTTCGTAAATAAATAGACATTCAGTTTCAACAGACAGCCGGAACCTCACATCCTTTTTCTCGGTTCGTAAATAAATAGACATTCAGTTTCAACAGACAGCCGAAACCTCACATCCTTTTTCTCAAAAAAAAAAAAAAACTGAAAATAACCGTT